TTAGACTAGTCGTTACCCAGCAGTCCTCCTGTGAACAACCCATTTCTAGGCATGGTTGACGATAACCATTACGCCTTAACTCGCTGTGGTTCAAGTTAACCTACCCTGCCTTGATTGGTAAGATGTTCCGTTCAACCAAATTGAGATTAGACAATAAAATATGCTGCTTCTATTTCATATTCAGTTGCTATTTAGTGATAATATTGCGATTCCATAATTAACATGCTTAAATGATTAATTTCAGTCAGTTCATAAGTATTATTATTTTCAACGTGTAGGGTTGCTGCTGATCTCTCGTGGACTGGACTCGAGGTGGCACTCTCAGAGCTTGTCCTTGAAGCTGCTCGTGCTTAACGTTCACCACGTGAACCGTCTTCTTACTTCGAAGATTGGAGAAGTGCAGCAGATTTTCCTGTTTAAGGAATTCGCAGATGTCGCCTGTTTATCGGTAGACTGAGTAGCTAATGTGCCAGATAGTTAGATGTATGGTGTTAACTCTTAATGTAAATTTTGCTTCTTGCTTTGTTCCATTAAATTGTGTTAAATTGTTGGTGTTCCTAAATGTTTTAAGTATCCGAATGAAACGAACCCCGATGAAGCACAGACTTCATTACAATGGTGGCCAGTGGGTTGTAAAAGTTTCTTCTAGTGTGTTGTAATCGTGTCATTTAGTCGTTAAGCCCTGTGAGATACTGATTCATTTTTGTGATTGTTCAATTTTATCTATACTTTTGAATTCAATTTGTTGAACATTCGTGTGATTAATATTTCCAAAATGTCTGAGAGCGAATTCATTGCTGATGGTGTCAAGTTAGGCTATAAAGATGTTGAACTGCGCGAGTATGTGAAGCAGAGAAGTGAGCGAAATGAGAGGGCTATTGAACGGGAACGAATCAGAGAGAAAGAAAGACTTGAATTTGATATGCGTAAAATGGAAGTAGAACTTGAACGAGAAAGACTAAGAGCAAGTGACTCGAGTAATGCCAATGGACAATCTTTCAGTACACTGAAACAAATCGGTGTGTAGAAACTACGCACCCAAGTGACTATCCCGGCTTGTCCCAAAATGAGTTGCCAAAGGCGACTAAAGCGCCCCTTTAGCCAGCCGGGGTGCGTAATTAAAAGCTACTTTTAGCGCGTAAATAGAGAAAGCCTCAGTGAACTTACCTCCGGCCGATGCTGCATATGCAGTATGGTGAAGGAGAATACCCTGTATAAAATAGCGCATAGGATGAGAGAAAGACTGCCGGAAGTACATCATTTTATTAGAATACCACATTATGAGTATCGCGTCCACTATTGCTATGTCTCTAATGCTAAAATTGTAACCGATTGAGATAAATTTACATTCAAATTAATTACTCAACAATACAAATGTAATAATTCGTATGCAATATACGTATAGCCTAGGATTTTAACGCACCCTTGGTGATATTACAGGGTAACAACTCCAAAGAAATACATGGCATCGATTGCTGTATAAAAATAAATATTTATTGAAATTCCTGTACATGGCTTTTCACAACGCAGCTTTCTGAACGTGTCCCTTCATGTTGAGATATGACCGGAATTAGTTTTGTTTCATGTTTTATCGTGACAGTTACATTATATGAGCATACTATTCCAATTAGCTGCATTATTAGATATAGACATAGTATTTGCATATAAATTCTCTTACCATCGACTCTCCGCTGGAAGAACCACAGCCGACCGTAGCAGGATTCGAACCCGGGCTCTCTGCAGCAGACCGCGCGACGCCTTAGTCCACTTGACCATAGCAGCACGCATGCGTTGTAAACTAAAATAAACCTTTTAACCTAACTTTCTACATCATGACCGAAAAAGCACTCATGTGCCTACATTTTGTAGATATCATTTATTTCTGTTATTCTTCAGAGAAGGAACAATTAAACTCGTGGAAAGTTTAAAATCACCATCATCTACCATCACACATTGCAGGTCGCGTGCTATCGTAGGTTTGCATTACTGGTAGCATGAAAAACTGATCGACGTTGTACGAGGTGTTGGCGTTTAAGCTTTCCTCGCACTGCCAATTAATACTTGACTTTATTTATCAATAATTGCCTGATTGCAGCATTAGTCCCTTGAATAAGAAACTCATTAATTTAACTCTAAGTACATACTAAAGAACTGATCATTCGAAGGTCATATGAGAATTTAGAAAATGTGAAATGCAAGCATAGATGTAAAAATATTCCCAAAATTCCGTAGACTATATTTAAAGGTATCAATGGGCATAACCACGTCTTTAAAAATATATGCATTTCAAGTAGCATAATATTTATCATTAGAGGGGCTTTATAGCTTTATAGCATAATCTTCATCATTAGAGGGGCATAAGAAAATTCCAAAAATAAAATGCTACGGCATACAATTAAAAATTTTCATACAAAGTAGTTTTGATTGCTTAAGGATAGCAATAGATTAAAGCCAGCATTAAAACATCTCTAGGACAGATGTTTAAATTTACAAAGCTCTAAATATTTACGGTCAGATGGTCATTCTAAAAATGACTAATTTTCCTAAAATTTTTACTTTCGTAACTGACAATCGCGTAGCCAAGCGGGTACTAACTTGGCGATAGTTGCCGGTAAAATGTAAATACAATCTCTTCTTATGAGATAGCAAGATTTTCTTGTTTAAATACGTGCAATTAATGCCCAGAAAATGCATTATAATTTTCAAGGAGTCGAACAGTTCTTTAGATGACGTTGGTAAATCAAAAGGCAGATTTAGCAAATTATAATAATATATTAACGACGTTTCGAATACAGCAACATTAATTTTCAAGTTAAGCAAAGCTTTGAATAGTGAAATTCTGTTGGACATACGGTAGGTATCCTATTTCCGTGTATTGTGTACGTATGTCCAACAAAATTTCACTATTCAATACTTCTCTTTACTTGAAAATGAATGTTGCTACGTTCGAAACGTCGATAATATATTAGTATTATTTGCTAAACCTTCCTTTTGATTTACCAACGTCATCTAAAGAATTGTTCGACTCCTTGAAAATTATAATGCATATTCCGGTCATTAATAATTGTACGCACAAAAACAATCTATTCTGTATAAGCATCGCCCATAAATAGAATGCATTCAAATTTAAATGGAGCCACTGCCCCATTCGTCACGGAATATATATGCGACGATGTGGAGCATCAAGCTGGGACGATGATGCTTTTGTTCGTCGTCGGGGGCGACGATACTATTAAAATTTCGTTAGTGGAAGTCGGAATCCAGAAATAGGAGGCAAGTTTTTCTACGAAAATTCATGTAAAGAATTGACAGGACGCCATTTATTTAACCTAACTGGAATTTATTTAAATTCATTCGTTAGTGGAAGTCTACATCCGGAAATAGGAAGCAAGTTTTTCCATGAAAATTAGTGTAATAAATTCTCCTGGCTTGAGACAAAGTAGGAAATAACTAACGAGGTAAAACACACTAAGAGGAGAATCTACCCCAAATTTTATCTTGGTTATTTACAGACGAATCACATTTAAACTTGGTACGTATATGTAAAACAGAATTCTAAGACTTTTTTATTCATGTGAATTTTTCGAAAAAATGAAAGAAAACGTGAAATTCTTAGAAAACGGTCAAAAAGGGGGTACTGTAGAAATCTATCTCCTCCTAGGATTTTCAAGTTACAACATTGAGACACATATCATTAGATGCGAGAAAATCATATCCATAATTCGTAGTAAGCGTTTTTAAAATGTATCATATTTGTGGGTGTGGAGGACTGTTTGGAAATTTTTGGAAAATTTTTTTATTTTACCCCCGCCACCCCCCTTTTTGCGGAATAAAATACAAAGTATAATTAAATAAGAAAAACGCGTGCTATGAATTGTAGATCTTTCTTTTGCAAATCGAACGGTATATGTCTCATTGTTGTAGCTTCAAAACTGTAGGAGGAGATAGATTTGCAGTGACAATAAGTTAACTTTTCAGTAGAGCCCGACAAAGTCATGCGCACCTCGAAATAGACATTCAAGGGTGCAAGGTTGCAAGACTAGATGATACTGGAGCTCAATTTCTGTCAAGGATGGTGCGAACGACGGAACGAGAACTATCCCGTAAAACCGCAGGCAGATAACTGAAGCACAGCGTGTTCAGACTGGCTATTTAAGTATACCGCTGGTAATTTCGGCCTATCTTAAATGTGAAAGTTAGTTAGTTAGTTTAGTGGCCAAATGTTTACTAGCGCTTCAGCTATTTAGCTATCTCGCACCGAAAGTCAAGATGAACATCACCATAGAGGTGGAAATTTGAGAAGTCTAATGAGGTAACTAATTCCTATCCAAAATTTGTAAAGAAAAATGGCATTTTAATTCGTGTGAGCAATAGGAGCAAGTCAACTAATCACAGAAGATCTAAAATCATGTAATTTGACCGGATCTTTTCAAGACTGACGATAGTTTGAAATAGCTACTAGCCTTCCACCGGGAAGATATAATTTTCCAAATTGTTGTACCTACTAAATTACGTTTTATATTTCTTGGACTTTCACACGATACTTTGATGTCTGGACATTTAGGCACTGCTAAAACTAGAGACCGATTAATAAGTCACTTCTATTGGCCTGGAATTTTCGATGATGTTCGTAGGTATTGTCAATCATGTGTGAAATGTCAGAAATGTTCCGTTAAGCCACCCAAGGCGCCTTTGATAAATTTGCCGGTTATTGGAAAACCTTTTTCTAGAGTAGCTCTCGATATAATAGGACCATTACCTAAATCTAACCGTGGTAATAGATTTGCTCTTGTATCAGTGGATTTAGCATCAAAATATCCTGATGCCGTACCTCTTAGGAGAATTGATAGTGATACTGTTGCTGAAGCAATGTTGGACATTTTCTCACGTGTAGGTCTTCCGTCTGAAATACTGCATGACCAAGGTTCACAATTCATGTCAGCTGTGATGAAGAAATTTACTAGTTTGTTGCAAATTAAATCCATACATACAACTCCGTATCATCCTAGCTGTAATGGGTCCTGTGAAAATTTTAATAAATGTTTAAAATCAATGCTCAAAAAGATTGCAGAAGATTCGCCGCAGTGTTGGGACCGGTATCTGCAACCGTTGTTGTTTGCTTACAGGGANAATTAAAATATGAAATACTCACGGTATTCCTCCATAGCAGGTCAAGTCTGTGCCAAGTGTTGTCGTGTACGGTGACATTAAGCGTTGCAGTTGACGTCCATCCACTGGAACCTAATTTTACCATAATCTGAGGCCTGCCGTTGGTTATTTGCAAAGCCAAAAAACTATTCAAATTCTTCAAATCAGAACTGCTGGTGTAGAGCAGCAGACCGTGCAGGTTCTTGGTGAGAACGTGCAGGCTGATATGCAAATGTGAACACGTCGGCAGGCTCGGCAGCCATGCCCAAGAAATGAGATTTGGAGGCTCCCCGTGAGCCCCGTAGACGTTGAACTCCCTATGTATTATCTTGCACCGTGGTCCATATGTATGCGTAGGACATATACACTGTACAGACAAATCACGTCCCGGTACACAGCGTCCCCCATTAAGACAGGACTCAGGACGGCAGGAAGGCGGAGGTTCTTCACCGACGACAGCGTGTGCGGCCGGCGCAAAATTTTGCTCGTTTTTGAGTCGCGGATTTGGGGTAATTTTATTAGCCTGTGAATCATTCGAGTGTCCAGCCGCTGGGAGTAATTTGTTCTCCTTTGAACATCCGCAATAAGGAATCACGTGTACTGTTGGACCCACGTGGACAGATGTGATCGAGTCCACGAGCACGTAGTTCTCACCGACGATGATCTTGTCTTGACAGCAGCACTTACAGCCACCGAGGTTCTTAGCACATAGGCCTACACTGCCCACGCCTATCGCTGTCACGTCCATCTTCAGCTCACTGCCTATCTGTACGAATGGAAATGTTGCTTATCATTTTCCTTATACATGTTGTCATTTATTATTGAAATAAAATTATACAGGAATGAAATGTCTCTATGCATGATCAATACTTAATGTCTTTCTTCGCCAATTTCAAAAATCGTTAATTTCAACAAATATTGCGGAAATTTTGCGACTACTGCTAGTGTAATTCATGCTCAGGAGGCGCTTCTTCAAATTCAATCCTAATTCTGTTGTAATAACTAATTTAATTTAATCTGCCTATTTGATTCTTAAATGGAAGAAAACTGTGCAAAGTATAATTATAACAACCTCCTGGTCCTTACTTACGAACTAACACATCGTGTAATTAACGAGCAAAACAAGCATAAAATATTGAACATAAAGTAAAATTTCTAGCTTTACCCCACCCTATTTCCTCCTAGCTTCACCTCACCTTATTTCCCCCTAGCTTCACCTCACCTTATTTCCTCCTAGCTTCACCTCACCTTATTTCCCCCTAGCTTCACCTCACCTTATTTCCCCCTAGCTTCACCTCACCTAATTTCCCCCTAGCTTCACCTCACCTTATGTCTGCTCCTATACAACAACATCTCAAGGCTTGGTTGTGTGGTGGGTGGAATGGACAACCAAACTCTGACTCCAGATTTGGAGCCAGCTTCTCTGTAGACCTCTTGTATGGAGACGGTCTTGACGCTCCATGGAGCTGCCTCCGAGTCCGCACTTTCAACCTCATTCGTAAAATCGTTCGCCCAAAGTTCCAGCTTTTCTAAAAGCCTGTCCAATAGGCTTTTGTTGCCGTCCTGCGAGATTGTAAACGAACAAGTCTGTTGTCGATGCCATTGACACATTTACAGACAATGTTAAATATAGCTAAATATTATTGAAGGTATTTAAAATATTCATTATGTTATTGATAGTTGAAAACTAAATTTTAAGGTATAGTGGATCTACTGAATAGTTTTCAGGACTGTTAGAGTATATAAAATAGTTACAGGTTTCACTGTGCTAACAACTTGCTAACTTTCACAGTTGAGTTCCGCTAACAGAAATCTCGCTGCAATTTTCGTATTCAATAAAATTCGCAGCGTGAATGCCATGTGTCATTTTAGGCTAAAAATTTGCGCTTTTGACAATTGATTGCTATGATAAATCCTTCAAACGAACGGCTCTTATGTGTTCAAATGTAGTTCAAGTTGATAGTAAAGTGAGGCAAGTAATTCAAAATTCATCTGTAGTAACTTTTTCTGTGAACAATGTTTTTTTAATTCTAATTGGGAAAACATCAATCCCAGGGTAATTAAAGTCGCCAACAAAAACTATTACTTTGGAAGTTTAAACAGATATACGAAAAATGTTCCCTGTTAATATAACTCAAATATACAGATTATGCTCAAATTAAATAGCAAATCATCAATTTTGTTAGAAATAATTACTTAATTAAAAATAATTTTTTAAATCATTAAAAATTTTTCTCAGAGGCTCATTTCCCATGAACTTTTGCGGGATTTGATCAAATTTTTCATGATAACCATAGAGTTAGGAAAATTTTCAGCCCGTTCATTTGATATTGGAATGAAAGCAACTGAATTTAACAGTAAAAAAATTTACACGTTACGATCACGATTTACAATTTTCGATTAAATTTACATTTTACGCTGCTCATACGCTGACTTTTTCCTATACTTCAAACTGGAATCAAATGTATTATAGACTATTTTGAAAATGTAAATCTATCAATGTTCTTTTTCCTTACCAGCGTTGAAAATTTCGAAAAGGGTGGGCTACCAAATTGGAAATTTCCGTGTGCGTTAATTCAAAAACAAAATTTATAATCAACTTCTTAATTCCAATATTAACATCACCCAAAAAACTCCGTGACGATTTCTCGATATTTGTTAATAGATGTCTTAACCTTTATATTTTATTCGTCAAATAATTGATTGATTTCATATCAATAAGTTACATTCAATACAAGAGACCACAACCTAATTTTGTGATGAAAATGATAATAATAATATATTTTATATCTATAAGTAATATTAAATGCAAGAGACCATCATCTAGTTTCTTGATGAAAATAATAATAATAATAATAGATTTCATATCTATAAATAATATTCAATAAAATAGAATATAGACTATAAACTGTCACCTAGTTTTTTTATGTAAAGGATAATAATAATAGATTTCATTTCTATAAATAATATTCAATAAAATAGAGTATAGACCATCACCCAGTTTTTTAATGAAAATAATAATAATAATAAATTTCATATCTATAAATACTATTAAATACAAGACACCATCACCCTGTTCTTTAATGAAAATGAGAATAATAATAGATTTAATATCTATAAATAATATTCAAGACACCACCACCTTGCTGATGAGGTGAGCTGAGGTGACCGCGACCTCGACAGGCAAGGCATGCGTCACATCCTGCTTGCTGAGGTGCAGGAGGTGCACGCTGATGTTGAGGGCCACTGAGGGGCCTGTCACATCACTCACTGACACCTGCACCTCGTAACTGTGACAACATACGTGTGTAAGTAATAATGTCACTTGTTTGCTTTAATCGCAAATTCCCTAAAAACTTTAGAGCAAAGAAAACTCCACAAAAATTCATAGTATCTTTAAAGAAAACGTTTTCTTTAAAGATACTATGAATTTTTGTGGAGTTTTCTTTGCTTTTAAGTTTTTAGTAACATACGTGTGATATTATTATTAGTTAGTTAATTTTTTACAGCTTATATTACTAGTGTGTATTATCAAGAATTAGGGGGGTAATTTTGAATGTGTCAATGATAATGACAATTCCCACATGTCAATTACTAACACATACTCTTAACACCTGCACCTTGTAACTGTGACAACATACGTCTGATATTATTCTTGATTAGTTACATTATATAGCCAGAGGTGGGCAGTAGCGCGCTACATGTAGCGGCCGCTACTAGCGGCCGCTACATTTTCAGTAGCGGTAGCGGTAGCGGCTCTACATTTAAGGCAATGTAGCGGTAGCGGTAGCGCCCGCTACATATTTAAGTAGCGATACGAGGTTTTGCCGCTACAGCGCTACCGCTACATTTATAGATAAAGCCTTTAGATTTTACATTAAGGGGACCGGCTACCCTCCAACAAAACTTTTTTGTTTACTGACAGATCGTTTTGAAACTTGGTACACATATGTAAAACAGAAATCTAAGACCTTTTTGTTCATGTAAATTTAAAAAAAAAATAAAAGAAAACGTGGAATTAATAGAAAACGGCAAATAAGGGTACTATAAAAAACTTTATACTTTTTGCAAATCACATGCTACAATGTCGAGACACATATCATTCGATTTGTAACAACAATATCTAGCGACTGTAGAGCCCCGATTTTTTATTTTCCTCATCGTTTTTTTTCGCGTTCTTCCCATTTTTTCACATTTTTACCCGCCAACCTTCCTCCCCCTCCCATATATAAGTCAAACCATGCACATATTAAAAAAAAGCTTCTAGAGTCGCTAGGTATTGTTTTTGCAAATCGAATGGTATTATTTTTTGTATAACATTGAAGTATACAAGTATACTCATGGTTTATACAAGGTCCCAGAAGGATTACCAGAATTTGAAACAAGAACCAACACCAGGGGCCACGGCTATAAACTAAAAAAACTGCGTTGTATAACATCCATGCGACCAAATTTCTTCTCGCTTCGAGTCACCGACATGTGGAACAGCCTCCCTGATAGCATCGTTGACGATCCGAGTACGAACGTCTTCAAGAACAGACTAGACGAAGCTATGTAGGAGCATACAGTGGCTCGCAAAAGTATTGGATACATTGCAATTTTCTTCATATCTCAAGTTAAAGTGCGAAATTTTTTATAATATTTGGTCAGTATATTGCTAAAAGTGCTAGAAACATTATATAGAAAGGATTTCGAAAAGTATGCATTGTTGAGATTTTATTCAACAAATTGGGAACATGTTCCCAATTTGTATTGGGAACATGTTCCCAATTTCATGAACGCAAAAGTATTGGGAACATGTTCAAAAATAAACAAAAATAACTCTTTTGAAGTGCGCAAAATTCGCTTTTCACTTCAGACGTTCCACTAACCTCATAACGTTATCTAATTGGCCAATCAGAGCAGTTTGCTATTGTTTACGAGATTTTGTGTTCCGGTGAAGATATTCTTCAGCTTCATCTTTAAAATCTGATTTCAAATGGCTAAAACTCGGAGAGTTGGCGACAGATTTGCATCAAAAGATCATAGATCGTCACAAGAAACGGAAGGAGTATCGAATAATATCCAAGGAGCCTGATCTATCATTGAGTACAGTTAGAAATATCATCAGGAAGCAATCATCCTGACGATATCATCCGAGCATGCTGTTGCTAAGCTCCCAAGACCTGGTCGTCCAAGGGAACTAACAGACGATAATGCAAGGTGGATTAGCAGAAAGGTACAGAAGAACCTGTTTGTTGCTCGTGGTGAAATTAAAAGCGACCTGGAGGAATCTTGGATTGATGTAGAAAAGGACACAATCAGCAGAGCTCTAAATCGTACTGGTCCTATGTCAAGATCCTCACGAAAGATTCCTCTGTTGAAGTACCGACACGTGAAAACCACAAGATTTGGGAAATCGGACAAAATCCTGGTCGGACGAAA